GCTGTTTACATATGTAAAAGCTCTCTCCAATGTGTTATTTTTTATTCATTGGTGATTTTTTCCAGAAGCCAGTCAAATGTTTCTATTGGCCTTTATTCTGCAGGTATCAGGATATATGAAATGAGCTTAAGAGCCAAGTAACCCATCTTAATATGTGACCAGTTTCTGAATGAAAGTCAAAATATGCAGCAGTTGAAGCAACTGTAGATAACATTATTAAAATCATAAAACCTGGGACAGGAGGTCGGGCAAGTTTAGGAGGGCTACCTTAGGCTAGGTCCTCAGAACTTGCTTTTTTTACACACCCAGAAATAGTTCTTTCCCATTCTGACAGAAATTCTTTCTTACCTGTGTTTATTGGTGACTTGCAGTCTTAGCTGCCACTTCCATTTAATCTTTCAGTCTGATAACCTGCCTGTCTAGCTTCCAGTGAGTGCAGTCTTTTTTTTAAAACAAACAAGGAAACAACAGAAAAAAAACAAAAAACCCTCCCCCAAAAAACCAACCCCCCCAAAACCCAAACCGCAGAAACATTGCTTGTGCCTTTCTACAATGAAGTGCTCAGTGATTCTGGTCTAATATTAAGCAAAAAGAAGCCGAAGATACACACCCAGAAATACCAGCAGAAAAACTGCGTTTCAGCACCAGTGAAAGAGCAGTATTTCAGATGGGGCTTTGCAGTATCTTGCTTTCAGACAGACATGGCATTGTGATGGGTCTGTGACTACAGCAATTTGTCATCTTTTCAATTAGTCACTTTTTCATTGTGCATTGAAATTTTTAATTGAAAACATTTCTACAAAGTAGAAGACATCTTAGGAAATATATGGAAAACATACTTTTGAGTAAATATTTAATAAAATTTATATAATTATTTTTAGGGAGTAGTTAATTTTCCTGTACTTTTCTTTTTATATAAAATTACTTTATTATGCAAATTCTTATTATTACTTTTAAAGCTTCTTGGTTGAGTTTAAATCAGTTTAAATAAAATAATAAATTTAAGTTATGAGAGGGTTTTTTTAGTGTAAAGTGATTCATTACAAAACAGCAGAGACTATGACCTTGACAAGTTACTGAAAATATGATGGAGTATGTAGGGAAGTCTGAAGTTTTACAGTTTTAGGCTGCCAGTTTATGCACATGTGGGAATTGGAAGGAATTCTTTTTTTACTTTGTGAGTTCAATATGTATGGTAACTTTTATTTGTTTGAATACTGTTAGAGTAGGAGCAGAGTATTTAGGCAGAAAATACAAATCCCTTCCTCTAGATGGAAATATTGGTAACTCTGTGATTTTTCCAGATTAAAACCCAGCAGTTCATGAGTTATGTTTTTCATTTTAAGATGCATCCTGTATAAAATATCTGACTAATTAAATTGTGGATTTCATGCAGTGTTTGATGTTCTTTTAATTCTGAAAAGGACCAGGCAAGCTGACTTTTTTTTTTTTTTTTTTTTTTGGCAGGATGATAGGGAAGAAGGAGTTACAATTGCTAGCACAGTATGTAACTATATAGCCTGTCTCTGATTCTGTGAGGCTTTATGTTGCCTTAAAGGGCCTCTTAAAATTTCCCCTTACCTATAACTCTTCTTAATGCCAGTATACCTGAATAGGTAATTTTAATCTATTTTTTCTCACTGTAGTGTAATTTTGTTTTCACTGTCACTTTCCTATCACCATTATTGTTTAAACTTTCTTTTTAAAGAGTAAAGTCTTCATTTGTTCTGCAAAGCACAAGATTTGTGGTGCTATGTAGTAGGATAGAAGAATGAGAAACTTCAGTTGCAAAAAATAAGTCCAACTTTCTAGGAAATATGTTAGAGTTGAATATTTGCTTTCTTAAAAATTTGATGCTAAATTGTGGACATGATCAGCGTAAAATACATTGCAAATTTTGGGCCAGGTGATTGTCTTCCTACGCTCATATACTCGAAGGAATTCCCTTTGTAGATCTGTCATCAGCAATTACTGATTGACTCTCACCTGTTGTATCCTGTAAATGCATCTGGTGCCTTTTGAACACCTCACAGCTACACAGGGGCTCGACTGTAAAATAAAATAATTAAGCGCTATATTCTGTTGAAACTATGATAATATTAGTAGGGAAAAAAGGTGGATACTGTACACATACATGCTTTAGGCCTGATGTAGATTATTTAATATCATTGTCAGTTAACAGTTTTGCAGTGATGTCTTTGTGGGTTAGATTACAAATAGTGCTGTTTCGTATGATTGATTAAGCAAATACTGTACATAACATTATGTAAGCAATTACTCATGTTGGCCATTCCTTCATGTGTTGTTGTAGTAAATACTAGAGTAGAAAGCTGTAGTCAAGTTGGGCTTATTACTAGCTACCACACTTCAGAAGGGGTGATGGTAAGATTTTTCAAAATTATTTATGCTCCTATATGTCTAAGATACTTTGAAAAGTTATTCTATAAATGTTCTAGATTGTAGGATGGGACTTTTGACTCTTTTAATGCATAAAGCATCAGCTGCATGGGAGGGAAGAAGTGTAAGCATGTTGGGATAATACTTTGCTTGTAGGATTATATTTGTGAACCACAATCTGTATCAACAATATGCAGTTACTTTTATCATTTTAACATTGATGGAGACCAGTGATTTTTATTTACATTACCACATCTGTATTGCTCAACACTTAAAATATAAAATTGAATTCATTTTCTGTAATGTTTCATGATAGCAGCTGAGGATATTGCTTTGCAGCAGTCAGCAGCTATGTGGGAGTTTTTAGAAAATACATCTTTGGCTTTTCCCTCTTGGCATTAAATTATGGTAACTAGGAAAAAAAAATCATTGCAATTTATTAATAAATAATGAGAAACTGCACTATGCACTTGGGAAATTCTTATCTTAAAAATTTATTGATGATAACCACCTTTGCCTGCATCCTTCTTCTGGTGTGTGTTTGTACTTCCGCTAGTTCAGATGGTGAGCACTTGGGAGCTGTGATTAGACTTCTGTGAATAATTGATTTTTTTTTTTTTTGGTTAGAATAAACTCAATAGAAAATTGTTTTGGCTGTAACAATGCTTTAGGTTTTTTATCTTTTTTTTTTTTTTTTAAAATGGTTTGGAGGTACACTTCTTCAATATAATGTGCCAGAGTTCACTTCTCAAGTGTGGATCTATCTGAAGTGGATCCTGCTGGCTGTGTGCCTCCCATCATTTTTCAAATGTTCAGACATTTCCTTAGCACTGTTTGTATCCACATTTCTGCTACCCTGAGGCCATAGAAAATTGACTACAGCAGCTAGTCAGCTCCTTCTGATCAGTCTTCATAAGAAAAACTGGAAAAAGACTATTTTTCCATTTTTGGACACTGTTGGCAAGAAGTAACAAGTAGCTGTGTGTCAACAGTTCTGCACTGTACTGCCCTGGAATTACTTTGAGGTAGTGTACCACTCTTATGAAAAGACTCCTTGCCCTGCTGTTTGAGAGGTGAATGGCAATTAAGTTTTCATGGTTAATCTACTGCCTGTGGCTTTTCATGTAGGTAGGTGACAGAGACCACATTGTAACTTCCTTTCAAAATTAATTTTTAACTTTCAAATTTTTTACTATACTTGGCTTTTTTTTTTCCCCTGAAAACATCTATCAGGAGATAAAATACTTCTTGATGTTGAGTTGTGTTGTTTTGTTTCTATTTTCTAGTTACTGTAGTAGGACAGGAACCACTTTCCAAGTGGAAGGAAACTAAATTTGGAAGGGGCAGTGGCTTGTATTGCTTTTTCTAGTTAAGATAGTATATGATGAAAGTGTAATTTACTGGAGCCCAGTCACCCATAATGCAGGCCACATCAGCTGCTTTCTGGAGTCAGCTGCTAGCAGAAATTTGTCAGTAACAATTTAGAGCTTGATTAAAATTTTTATGTTGGTTGAATGATGTTTTTAACTTCTGTTTTCTGGCTCAAGTGCCCAGTTTGGGAGGAGAGGTCAGGTTGTCAGGAAGAAAACTTCTCCTGTCCTTCCAATATCAGATGCTTGCTGACCTTGGGGTTGCTTATACAGATACTCAAAAGAAGGGGATTACCTTAACATAACCACAGTTCTTAAATAAGTGCATGTATAGATCCCATAAACTACTTTGCTTCTTCTGCAGCGTTGGGAGTTTTATTGCTTATGTTGTGGACAGTGACTGGCAGTAGTTACTGCCAATTGATTTGCTTTCTTTTTATCTCCAAAAGAAATTGTTAGATCTTGCACATCATCATAGGACCCATAGTTGAAGTCATTCTGAATTCCTGTGCATATCTGTAGCAGACTTGAGGCATATATGTTCTTTACAGCTGACTAATTCCTTAAGCAGGCAGAAGACTCTAGGTTGTCTGTCAAAGCACAACAGCTTTTTGTTTGTTTGTTTTAAATTGTACTCTGTTTCTTGTGGCTGAAATAGTTTGAATTTTTCAACATAAAATCTACTGGAGAAAATTCACCTGGCTTGAGCTATAAGGGTACTTGTTTGCCATTGAAAGTGCTTAATGTGTTTCTAAAAGGAGGAAGATAGACTATTGTAGAAGGTATTGGATATTTGTTACAGTGTTGCTTTGACTTGGCAAAACATAGGCCTACACTGAGCTTCTAAGTTTGTGTTCACTGCTTGTTTTAATTAAATTAAGAATATATTGAAATGTTTTGTTCAAACGGATACTATTCCCATAACAGAAGGGGTTTTTTTAAATTAAAAAAAAAAAAAAGGAATTTAACACTTTTATATCCACGACACTGTTTATAAATTATCTTCACAGTTTTCTGGAGTTTCAACTTACTTTCAATTGTTAAAAAACAAATTCCCCTGCATTTCATGATATGAATGGAATGCAAGGGGGGGAAAAAAAAAAAAGAAATGCCAGGTATTTCTTCTGCTGCAACCTCTCGTTCTGTCCTGTCTTCTGCCTGTCTCAAATAGTAATACTATATATTTGCATGGTCTTTAAATTGTTGGTTTTGCTAATTTTGTTATTAAAACAGGCGACAACAGAGAGACCTTTTATACAGAAGCTATTTCGACCAATTGCTTCAGGAGGACAGTTGCATACTTTGGGAGATCTGCTAAAAGATGTGTGTCCTAGTGCTATCGCCTCTGAAGGTACTGTAGAAATAACTTTTGTCCAATAAGATAATTTTTGCTGTTGATTTATTGTTTGAGTGGGTCGTTGTTTTGTTTAATATGGGGATTTTGGAGGTAGAACTATGTCTCAGTACCAGAGTTTGATTTCGCTCCTTCCTGGCCCTTTAGCGTGCTCATTATACATTACCTGCAGTGTTTGGAAAGGATAAGATTGAGTCCTTAGGCACTCATGAAAAATTAGTGTCTGGAAGTTTTATTTTAAAATTTGTGTACTCCTTTGCTTTAAGAATATTTTTAAAAAATGCAGAAAATTAATGCGAATGTTTTTATTAGTAACAGCATGTGGCAATGTCAACAGAAGTTTTATTTTAAGTTACTTTTAATTTTATATTGCATAAACTTTTCATGTGTAAAACTCCAAAATTGATAGAAATTGAAGATGTTTTCAGAATACTTTTTTTTTCCCTGTTGAAGCCTAACCTTCAAAAATGCACAAGAAAAGAAAGTGATTTTTATAAGTATGTAGTAGTTTCTGTATGGTTACTAAGTAGTATTGTATGACAAGACACCAATTAGTTCATGTAGCATTATATCATTTCATACAGTAGCATTTGTTGATCAGCATTTATTCAGAAAAATAAGTGTTTCTGGATGTTATTTTAGCCTCAAAGATTACAACTATTGGAACTCTGCAAATTAAGATCAAAATAATTTAATGTGAAACATTTTTCATCTTATTCTTCTGTCATCTTACCAGTTCCTGTAAATGGGTAACATTTTTCAGTCAACAAGTTGCAATTTGTTTCAAGAAATGTCTGATATTCTAGAGAAGATTTTGGCACAGAATTTACTGATGTAGTATCAGCACCTTTGACCGTAAAGTACTAAATTTGAAATCAGTGTGAAAATCTGTAAGATGTTGTTGTACACAGTAGTTGTGTAATTCAAAATCAAACAGTTGTCATGGATTTCTTTACGTATGGTGATCTTAGAAATTAACTGAAATCTCAAAGTATTTTTTTACCCCGCTTTAATACTTGTTAACACATGGAAACAATTTCCAAAACCAAAAAAAGGTAAGAAAAATATGGAATATTGCTAGCCATGTGTCCATTTTTCCTAAAGCTACTATAAACTTTAGAGAGTAATTTTAGGTAATGCTTTCAAGTAACTGTCCAAAAGATAAAGCAAGGTACAAATGGATACTTGAATGTTAGCACAAGCAAGTTTAACCATTTTTAAATGCTTAAGTATGAGGATCCTACAGACACTAGTGAAAAGGTACAAAGTGAATTTAAAAAAAAAAGGGGGGGTTTAAGAAGAATGGTGCATTTTGACTTGGAAGGCAATCGAGCACAAATTATATGAAAGAAACTCAAAAAGCATTTATGCAAAAGTTATTCCAGGATGTAATGGATGATAATTTTTATGTAGATTTGCTAAAGCTGCAGATGAGGAATGTGCTAGTTACTGCCTTTATCAAAAACATGAATGCAATGTAATTTTATCTGAGTACTAGTTCCTTGATGCTTCTGGGTAGTAGGCGTTCTTTTCAGATGTTGACATAGGCACCAACCTTTAATAGCAGAATAGAAATGTGCTACGCTAATTGCTTGGTTCATTTTTGTTAAAGGCTAAAAAAAAACCCCTATACTCTTTGCTCAATGGGGGCAAAAAATGCTGATTACTTGGAAGAAACTAAAATAGGTACTATTCTTACACTTAGGAGGAGCAATTTGAAATTTAGCAGAAAGGTTTCCTTGTATTGGAGTATACTTCTCTGTTCCTGTATAAATCTGCTTAAATTTGGTCTCGTTTTGATCCCTAAGATTCTACTGAGTAACTTGCTCAGACTTAGAGTTTAGTAAATTTGATCCCTCACATGGGTGTAAGCTATCTAGGATTAAGCAGAATTTCTCCTGTAACACAGCTTTGTATTGTTGCATTGTTCAATTGTTCTTATATTCTGAGTGTTCTCCTTGCCTTCTGGTAGATAACAGAAGGAAAGCCGTCTGAGCTAAATGCAGAAAATAATGTGAACTCTTGAGGAGATATGGAGGTATACTGATACATAGAGCCAGTGGAGGTGGAGGCAGACTGACTGATCAAGTAATTTGGAAGAAAATGACAGATCTGGGAGTCATTAAATGTGATGGGAAAGCGACTATAAACAATGAGGCAGGATGAAAGAGATTAGGGCAAAAGCCAAAAACTGACATAACTGAACACCTGGACAGAGTAAGTGGGATAGGAGATACTAAAAGGATGAGGGAGAAAAAGAAGCATATTGCATGTGGATCATACACTGAGATTGTGCAAGGCATCCATGAAAGAATGGGAGCAGATGTCTTGCTGGCGAAGTGATTTGGATGGTCTGGAGACCCATTTGGAGAAGCAAATTGAATCAAAAGTTGAAAAGAAGGGCAGTTTGCACTGGCAGAAGAAGATGCAAGTGGATACATGGTCAGGTGGATCTGGAGATAGTCATATAGGGGACTGGGGGAAACTTGTTCAGGGTTTGCTGTACAAGTAGACTGTACCCCAGACAGGAATACAAGGTAGAAGATTAAGCATGGCAATATGGAAAGAAAAAACACCTAGGAGATAGATCGGGAGGAAGCAGAACCAGGACAAAATGGAGAGATGATAAAGGATCAGACTTAGGGAAAATGACCTGAAAAGATGGATGCCCATGACAGCAGTGATTCTTACTGCTGAAGAACATGCACAGGTAAGGTTAGTGTACTTAAGAGGTGTGAAGTGCAGCAGTGGTTTAGGCTTGACTGCTTCAATTCATCATACTTTGTTCACTGATGATTCAACTTAGCCAATAAGGGAACTTTGATTATTCTCTTGCTTGGCTTTATCCACTCATCTCATTCCCTATTCAAATGTAATGTGCCCCATATTAAGTGTTCATGCTCTACTACACCTTTGAGCTATTAAAAAAAACCCCAACACTAACTCACCAGACTGCATAGTGCCACTTTTGAGTTTTGCCTATAGAAATGTTAGCAGTCATAACAAGGACATACTTCCTTCTTTCCCAGCAAGTGGACTAGACTCCTGAGACTACAGAACCTCAGCATGTCAATGCTGCTGAAGTCTCAATGAAACCCACTTAGTCAACTCATTTTCTCTCTGATGCTGGTTCACCGAGAGTTTAACAAGCTTCCTCGGTCAGTAGATGCTCTATCAGTTCAAAATGCAGAGGAGATTGTAGAGCTGAGTGTTCCTATTCATTTTGGGGGCATGTGAGAATTTAATTTGCAAGCATTTTTTGGAAATCTGGGAAGCTGCATAAATGTTTTTCTTCTAAAATAGCTGTATCCATTTGAAGTTGAATACTTGAAATTTAGGAGGCGTCAGAGTTGTAGACTGCCTGTACAATCTTAATTTCGATACATATGCACACTGATCATTATACAGCTTATAATCACTCTCCATCTCTCATCTCCCTTTGTTTTCTGTGAGACTTTTGTCTTCCTGCCCAGGCTGGGCATATTTTAGTGTCAGGGCTGTGTAGTGAAAAATAATTGTCCTGATTGTTGAAATGATGGATGGGGAATTAAGGTACTTTGGGAAGTATTATAATTTAGGCAGCTGAATACTGCCTTTGGGAGTTGAATTCAGTTCTTTCTCCCCTAGGGAGTTCATTCAAATGTGATACTAGGCAAGCTGAGTGTAACAAAACCACCCATTTTATAGCAAGGAGCACCAGAAAAATCCAGTGATCAATGTGAGTGTGTTCTGCTGAACAGCTTGCTCGCTTGTACTTGGAATCAGCAAGAGCTCTGAGGCTTTGAGTGTGCAAACACCAGGCACTGTCTGAAGTCAAGTTCTAGGCCTCTCATTACTATTCTTCTTTCCCACCCTCCAAAAAATGGATACTTCTGGCCATAATGTCTCTTTGACTTCAGTTTGTGATCTATAAAATGATGATAAGACAGTCTCTTTCCACAGGAAAATCTGATGAAACAGTTTATGAAAGAAAAATAGCTTGTGGTCAAGACTGACTGAATTTCATCATATTAAAAACCATCCTCTTTGGACCTTTTTTGGTATCTTCTAATTTTTGTTCTTGTAAACTTGTTTTGTCTTGATCTACAGTTTATATTTATTCTGCTCAAGGCATTAAACTAATGTTGTAACAAAATAGAATACATTGTCAAAGGTGTATTAGAAAATGATGGCAAAGTCTTTTCCACATCTGGGTTTTCAGACTTTATTCAGTGTTATCAAAGTTTAGATTTACTAAATTTTTCTGAACAAAGGAAAAAAAAAAGTAGTAGCAAAGGTAATGTTTATAGCAAAGGTAATGTTTAAAGACGTAATAGATATTGGTGAAGCAAGTTGTTTTCAACCATTTTCTCTCTTTTTTTCAAAAATGTAGATATTTTTCCAAGACTGTTTTTTACCCCCCCCTCTTTAGTGAATTAATGCATCGGTGACATTAGCTGCATCTTTTTGTCAGTGCAACACAATCAATATGAGCTGCTCTTTCTGTTTTTCTCCATCTGTTACCTTTTTTTGTTTGTTTGTTTTTCCTCTATGGTTTTCTTTTTCCAATGACTTTTCACTCAACTGGAAGCTTCATGGTAATTGTGGTGATTGCTTGTCTATGGTGACATCCGTAACTGAGCTTTGTGCCGTGGGAACACACAGCATATACGATTTTCAGACTCAGCATTTGTAGCCATATATGTGAGCTGTTCCTGCTGCCAGATACTTGGGGACCACCACAAGAAGAGGGAGGGAAGGGTTTCAAGAACCACCCACAGTGTCTATATGCCTTTGCTTTAGGAAACGTGGATATAATTAAGTCTCTCTTTTAACTGTGCTGAGAAAAAATATTTCAATGAAAAAAAAAATATATATATGTGGATTGAATATATACACTGATTGTTGAAAACACCATGTAAAGAACACTGTCAGAAGTAGAACAGGTTGAATAGTGACATTAAAACACTGATAGTGAAAATGGTCTTTGTAAAATATTGTGTTGATATTACTTTGGA